CTTCTTTTTCTTTTCGTCTGCTTTCTTAGTCATTATATGCATCTCGGCATCATCTAGTGTGTCGGTACTTTCTGCTCTATCTCCTGATTCTGATGATTGACCAAATATTTCATCGTCACACGAGAGAGTATTGTAACTTGTTCCTGGTTGATGCAGCTGATCTGCCGCATCGCTATCAGACCTCGATGAGTTACATAGAGGGTCGTCTTTGTCCTGTGCTTGAACATTATTCATTCTCACGATTATATCTTTGGCAGTCATGTTGTTTATGCTTTTGGCGTTTCGTTCCTCTCGTTCGCGTATTTCTGGTGCATCTCTTACTTTTCTACCAATGTTTGACAGACGGTTTCTGATGGACTTGACAGCATCTTTGTTGTCGATGTTTTTAAACGCAGTTGCGTACTTCTGTTTGACATCTTCAGATAACAATTCCTTGTGCTTTACAAAGAAGCCTAAAATCTTTCTCCAATCATTCCCAATTGCCACAACAGCCTGTCGATATAAGATTCTTTCCGCATCTGATATGGCGTCTTTTCTAGCATGTGCTCCATTTCCAAAAAGAAAATTCGCGGTAAATCATTTAATTTTTTTTTACTAGAAACGTTATCATAACTAACAATTTACTCAAATATTTAGGTGACTTACCATCTATGGTAGATTTTTCCACATTCATTTTACACTTGAGTAGAGCAAACGACTATTGCCTGAACGTTTTGAACTTGGCGCGTGTCTAGTCTGTACTGAACATGCCAAATACCGTCAGCTCTGGTTCGCACGGGGAAATGTACTCATAATTAACGTAACTATAGGAACATATCATTAGCATATAAAAAACAGACCCATATGTTTTAAGCTGTGATATACAGAAGATTTAGAAAAACTCTAATATATCAATTTTATCATGTAATAACAATGCAGCAGTGCTACAGCCCCTTAGAAGTGAAGCAAGGAATATTCTACATTTCTTCAAACTAATAAGTTTACAAAATCATAATTCTGAACAAATGGAGTAATAATCAGTGTAATGTGTCTCAAAATTGTGCTTGGTAATGCTGTTATTTATTTTGATAATTATAGCTGTCAGACAAATGCTTAAACTATTTTTGGATATAAATACCCACCAGTTCTAAAATATGATCAGCCAGCAATTCCTGAAATGAGTGTAGTGCCCCAGGATACTTCCCAGGAGTGGAAGTAATTTTGCAGCTTCTTGTCCGCATTGCTTAAACAAGCATGATTTTGGGAGTCCATCAACAACCATAGAAAGCTTGTGTGTAAACTCATCACCAACACCAAACTTGTCAAGCAAGAAGAGAATACTCTCCACAGTGACCTTATCATTCTCACTTAATGTAGAATAGTGTCTGCGTGGCTTCGTAGGTGCTTCAGGTGTATTGTTTTCCAGAGACCCATTATCAGCAGGAGTTTTTTGATCAGATGGAGTGATCACCTCAGTATTGCTACTTGTACTGTTAGATGGAGTATGATCATGACCAGTTGGTGTCTGGGGAGTTGGTGTCTGAGGAGGACTGTCTGTGGCAAAATTGACGGTATACGTTTTGGGACCACCTTTGCTCCTAAGCTTCAAACAGTCAAGCTCGAGCCCAAACAATTCAACAAAATATAAAGCTTTCTGTGCTCGTTTTGATTTCTTTCACGTTTCTATTCGGGCACTCTTCTACAGTTATTATGTCAGTTTTTAAAACAGCAATTTTTGTATTCGCTTCTGAAAACTCTTTCCTTTTTTGTACAGAACCCAGTCTATTCAGCTTTTTTCTCTTTGTTTCTGTGCTTTATTTCATGCCGTAGCATTTCCATTGGGTTAAGGTCAGGGCTTTCAGCAGGAGTGCACCAATGATTTATATTGTTATCCGCTATGAATTGCATCGTTAATTTGCCTAAAATCAAAAAATTAGAGAAACCCAATTAGATAAATTTATTATTAAAATCCAAGATTAAGGATCAGTGTATACCACAATCGACATTTTCTTACTTTTATGTTTGAGTTCATTATCCTGTTGAAATCGATGACCGTCAGGAAATCGCTCTTTAATAAATGGCAGTAGGCTGTCACGGAGAATGTTCTCTGTAAAGAAGACCTTTTCCATTATGTGCCTGTGCCAGTGGTAGCATTCCTGTTAAAATGTCTGGCAATGCTAGCCACAAACTCTGCTTTTATCCTGGATTCGGTGGGCCTGTTTGCAGGGATTGGTATATTGCTCTCCAGGCAACTCATTCTAACAGTGTCACAGAGTTAAAACAATTGAGAAATTAAACAATAATCCTGTTTATTTAAATGACAATCAACTAAATGATAATTTTTCTTTTTCACCTTAAAATGTTTAAATGAGTCTAACCACAAGTTAAAGACAGGATATCAAAGTCAAGAACAGGGGAACTTCAATTAACGTGCTGCGATTTTGTTTGTTTTTGTTGATCATATGTACTATCATGAGCTTATCTGGGTGTGCCTCTAAGTCTCTTATTATAAACTTGGATGCAGCTTGATGTTACATTAAGTCATTCTCATTATGTGAAGTACTAAATACAGTTTAAGGATTAAATATAATTCAGGACTAATTAAAAATGTTTAAAAATTCTTTAAATAAAGAGTATTAATGAATTAAAATATACTTATACAAATGACATGTATAGTCCTATATCCCACATGGGATGACCTGTCTGAAGAACATAAAACTTAAAACATCTGCAATCTTTCGTTAAGATTGGCCAGTGCGTATTGGTAGTGCTTGCTAAAGGTTCTGGGTTCCAATGCCACCCCAGATTCCACTGCTTTTGGTATTATGGCATTAATTGATGTACCCATTGGAAGTCGGCCCTTATGAGTTTTAAAAATCTATTAAAATAAGACATGAGTCCTCACCATTGTCAAGAAATAGATTACTTCAGCATAATTAATAGCTTCTCATATTTTGGTACCCCCAATGGCGTTGAGAACCCATTCTGCAAGGTCGCGGTACATGTAGTCCTTGTGGTCCAAGTACATCAATCCTAAGCGGATTATCACAACAACACCTTTTGTTGCTTCTGACTGGGCAGCAGATAGTGCCTTCTCTTTTAGCATTCTGTTTCTGCCCTTGAGTGGGGACACAGGTACTTTAAAAGGCATAAATGCAAGCCTTGGGGAAA